ATATAGGGGGTAGAAAGTCCCAACCTGAATGATATCTGGGATGAGTTCTTGTTCTCTAAAATCAATGAATTTTAGGAACAACAGAGTTGAAGAGCAGAATATATTGATTGAGGGAAAGAAAGCTTCTGTCCAACAGAGGGACAGATCGGGATCCCAGTGGGTTAGCCAGGAATCTGTCTTTTCTAGAGACTTTTATAGAGCAAAACCACAAGTGAGGCAGGTCCAAGGTGGGAAACATGGGAACTCGCTAGGTGAGTATGATGTAGGACAAAACTATCATCCAATAGGATTACAACTATAATTGTTCAGGTAAAATTGATTAACTTGGGATCAAATGGGGAAGTGGGTCATATAGCAAGCAGGTATGAATTAAGAACAGGGGCTTTTCCTGTAGAAGGTTGGGCTAGTGACTCTTCCTGACTTTTTTAAGGTGAATGCTACCTATTTAGAATATCAATCCCTGAGTTCTATCCCTAGGAAAGTATGTGGGCACATCTGTTTAATCTTTTAATCACAGCTGGAAGTGTCTCTGTCCCCCATAGTTGCAAGGTATCTCATCTTCCTCAATGGATCCTTCGAGGGCCTGACCCTGTCTGACTTTCTATAATAATTTTCATATTTCTATCTAAATCAGCTACCTATAACACTACCACTGATTGGAGGCTGACCCCCTAATCCTGACCTAAGGAGGAACAGTCATCTTATGGGACCCAGACTGTGCCCTTGGATCATAAGGAACTGATGAGAACTAGCTGCAGAACCAGTCCTGAGATAATGATCACCCTTACCAGTGTTACCCACTCTGCCGGTATGCAAACCCTCAGCCCTGCAAATTCCAACCCTTGCCTTTGGTGTCCTTTTCTAGAACATCTCAACATTTCTGTCAGTCTTTACAAAGGCAGCCCCTGAACTTCTTTATCTGTCCTTGCCAGTGGCAAAGCCACACTGATTACAGCTCTTTGCTACCCTCAATCGTGGCTCCTTTTTTGACTGGACGTTTTGTGACCCGTGTTGGAATGTCGCAAACTGGGGTTTTCTCCTAAACTCCAGTAATAAATAAATCCAGCAACCAAACACAGTGGGGATGAGGTATGCATTGTTCCAAAAACAATATGATACAATACATCATGAGTGTCTTGCTGACCAGCCCGGGGCCTGTGGGTGCAGTGAGTGTAGCTAGAGTATGAGCTAAGGTGGAAGACTGGGGCTCCAAAGGGCAAGATGCATCTCCTGCTTCCAAGGCAAGGCAGGAGGGTGTCGAGAGTAGACAGTGGAGGACTCTGGACAGGACCACATCTTCGTCTGGATGGGACCAAGATGAGACACTTGGGTGGGCAGGTCTCTCAATTCTGGCCTGGTTCTAGCTCCTGATTCACTTCTGCTCTGGGTATGACAGGGTGCTCCAAATGGCCTTTGAAATCATCCTCTTTCTTGGGACTATCCAATACCCTTCAGAAGAATACTATACTTTATGGCAGAAGACCATCTTGTTTAAATGTTTACAAAGCAGAGTGGATATAAAAAACAGGTGGGTAGAACTTAGGAATGAAAGGGATTTAAAAATTAAAGTGCAAGAAAAGAATTAATGGGCAAAAAAAAAAAATTAGTGAGCAAGTGCATAGGCAGTAAGGACAAAATATGGGGAACTGTGTAGCACTGTGGATTACATGGTGTGAGCTCACCTTTATCAAATATTCATAAAGGTATTAACTCCCCAGGGTAAGGAGAGGAGTAGGGGTGGAGGACAGGCAGAGCTCATCTCATCTGGGTTAAGTCAGACAACCACGTGCCCTGCAAGTGAGGTGGGAGCTCAGAGGCTGCATCAGTGCGCTCTGTGACAGATGGGGACTCTCCTCACCCTTGGCTCTACTGACTAAGACATGCAGCCCTGCATCACCACACAGGCTCCGGAATGCTACAGAAGGACATGAGAGGTGCAGGCCCAGAACACGGTCCCTTTATTCTCTACAGAGCCTCCTGGGGTTTTCTGCTCTGTGGATATCAGAATTGGAACCAAAAAGTCTCCAAATCCTACTTACCCTGGGAACCCGCTACTATTAAAGTCAGAGGACAATGCCCTGAAAGTAACAGTGACAGCTGTGAGTCCAGGGAACAAGAGGAGTAAGAAAGAATTCGGAACAATTGTTTTTCAGGCTTTATTGAGGATCACACACAGCTGGGGCACCCAACACAACAGGGAACAAGGCCCGCACGCCGGGATCCACACCAGCCAGGTGGAACACGGAGTCAGGCAGCCTCCTCACATCAGAAGAACTGTCTGGCTACTTCAGGTCAGGCACAAGGAAGGGACATGGGGACTTCCAAAATGAAAAGTGGGAGGAGACACTTAAGAGTCTGGACCGGGGGAAGGGCTGGGTAGGAAAAGGGAGCTGACAAGGCCTTGCAGAGGACAAGGGAGTAGCAAGGGCAGAGGAATGAGAAAGCGAGGCGTGGATGCAGGAGCAGGCTGTGCTGCAGGGCAGAGACAGGGCCACGGTCCATCCTCCTCTCATCCCGGCATTGCAGGCTCCTACTTGTCGCCCCAGTGGGCCATCTTTGAAAACAGAGGCTTTGGAAGGAAGCGGCTCGACTTCATGTAGCCAGAGATCTCCTCCAGGCCCTGGGCGTGGGAAAGAGAAGGCACAGCTCAGGACTGCTGCCCACTGAACTCCAGCAGCCCCACACCAGGAACAGCTTTCCACGTGGGCTCAAGGGCCGGAGCACGACAGTCTGCTGAGGGCCCGGCTCTGGTGAGTGAACTCCTCAAGTTCCTGTCACTGTAGGGAGGTTGAGACCTGAGCAAGGTGCTTTATACTCAGTAGAAATTATAATACAGTATGAAAAAATCCATTCAACAACCCTGCAGGATCAGCCCTAACATCACCTTTTATCCACAGGGAACCTGGGGCACAGAGAGATTAAGCATTTTCCTCAGGCTTACCCAGCTATTAAGTGGGACAGGGCTGGACGCAACCTGGCTCTGTTTCTCCAGCTCTCTGCTCTGTCTGCTGCACTCACTCCCTCTGTGCCCTGTGCAGAGGACGCCCTCTCTTTCTTTCTCTGTACAAACTTTTTCCTTTTGGGCAAGAGGTTCATTCCTGCCTTTATTTGCAAGCAGAGGAGGGTCCAGCACAACTAATGGTTCAAGCACCGTTTAGTGTCAATGGAAAGAAAGATCCATCAGCGCAGTGAATCAGTTAATTTTGGATGAAAGGGAACACAGGAGGAAGGCACACAGAGGCAGCCTGGGCAAGGTTCCAATCAATCCTCTGAGACCAAAAGGTCCAGCTTTCTCCTATTGTCAAGAAGGTAGTATGAACCTGCCCCACCTACCCGGCTGTTGATATAGGTGCCGCTGAGGTAAGCACTCCAGCCTGCTACTGGGACAGAGCCATATGACCTTGGTTGTATTACGTGTCTTCCTACTAGTACAGTGAGTTCCTAACTAACTGCAAATGATTCACAGAAATGCACAGGTGCCTGCTCTGCCCAAGCCAGGCCCAGCACGACTGAAGCTCAGGGTCCAGAGCTGAGCTCTTTCCCAGCAGCCCTTCCTCTCATACTTGGGCCAGCTCTTGCACATTCACAATCCCCAAAGCCACTCAGCCTGGATGAGAACTAAAGCTGATGGGACCTAGCTGAAAAAGACACTATTGGTGGCAAGTAGGAAGCAAGCACATTTCAAGCCTGCAAACGTACTACATTAATGGCTCAAATTCCCAAGTCTCTAATAAATCAGATTTCACTGGTGACAAACAAGAGCATTCTGGCAGGACCCGAATAGCAGGGAGGTGACAGGGAAGCCCTGCTCCACAGCACGCACAATGGACTGCATGCACCTCACATGTGGAATGCCTGCCCGCCGCTCCGAAACTCAGGCTGTGGATGGGCTGGGGAGAGGGTCTTGTCTGCATGTTCCACCTGCTTCACATCAACTTTAAGTAGATGAAGGTGTCAGGACCATCAGTGAAAATGAGAATATGACCCTATTTTATAGAAAGAACACTTAACAGGACACTTAACATAGAACAAGTCAAGATAAAATCACCCAAAGGGCATGCCCATGTGTATATTCAGTCCGGCACCAACTACAGCGACATTGTTTAAGTGCTGCCCTCACTGGGGATGGGACTGAGCGACTTGCCCGGCTGGTCAGGCATCAGTAGTCTGCGACTTGGTCCTCCCCCCGACCCACCTTGTCCCAGCCCTCCCAATGCAAGGTGCTCCCGCATTTTTCACACACTGTCCCTCCTACACAGGGGCTGGGCTGGAAACCCAGGCTGCATGGGGACACGGGCTTCTTTGGGGGGCACAAGATAGGGGCAGCCACTCTTCCCTTAGAATCCCGGGCTTAACAAGACCCTCCAGAGCCTCCATTGGTGCTGGAACCTTGAAGAAATGACTTCTTCTCTGGTTTTAGGTCCCTGGTCTGTGCAGTGGGCTGGGAATTCTATCAGCACTGTGGGTTATTGCAATGATTTGACTCAGTGGATGTAAGATGCTGGGCATATTCTCTGGGGTAGAAAGCCATTGCTCAGTGCCCTCTGTGTTAGTAACTCTTCAGCTCAGATGCAGCTGTAGAAAGGAATCCGGGGAA